GATGTTCTGACTTGTCTTTCCCAGTAATTCACAAGTACAGAATTGGTAATTTTGCTAAATTTTGCAGGTTCTATGGGTTTCTCATCTTCTTCTTAAAAGGTCACTTTTTGTCTCTGCTTTGAAACCATTCAAAGCTTCTGACTAGAAAAACTTTAAAGCCTCCATATGGTTTTCTCCCGTTCTCACCAGCATTTAGCACAACGCAAGTCATATATTAGGTGCTCGGAAAATACTTCTTGCCTAACTCACTGGAACATATTTACCTGCTCCTATATGGTAAGAATGCCAGTTTTCATTATAGTATTAGTTATGTGCTAAGAAATGCTACAATAAACATTTCAGCAAATTTAACATTTTCTCGTTTACTTTCATTATATGACCAAACACACAAGGTTAAAAATCACAGATAAGGCCAAGAAACTTTTAAATGGAAAAATGATAAATTTTCTAGATTCTGTCAGTGGTTTTCAAAGTTTTAAACCTTAAAAAATTTTAAATAACGTAGCATAACATTCCTGTAAAGGGATCAGTGACAGACTCGGCATTTAAAGCTAGAAAGCAGAGATGTTCTATGATTCAAACCATGTTATCTGACCCTACAATAATTACTGCTTCCATACAGAAATCTCATGGCTTCTAAGAATTTAACTGCTCTCTATTTCTGAAAACAAACTTGAGGCCCATGATGGTGCTTAAGAGTTCAGTCCCCAGAGCCCAAAATACAGTAAAACCATTTTTAAGTGACTTTGGTTAAAATTACTTTATTTCCAATTATTTAACTTTATTGAGCCTCAGTTTTCTTATCTATAAAATAGGAATATCAATGGCACCTAAATCAAAGAGTAGCTGTTAGGCAACAGAAATATGATAGCATTTGTAAGGCAGTTGGTACATGCTAAGCACTCAGCAAACACTTATGATTATTGGTACCGCTATTATTGTTACTGCTGAGGTAGGATTCCAAAGTGCACACATAGCATGATTCAATTTCATAAAAGGGCAAGATATGTGTAAGTGTACATAGACAATATATATTCTTCCATACATATAACATTTACATGTTTAGGGGTGTGTGTGTGTCTGTGTGTTTAGGGAGACAGAGTTCGTGAGAGAGACTCATAGAAAAAGGATTTGAAGAAAAAGAACCACTCCAGTGGCCACCTGATGATCAATGAATAACTGCTTACTTTCATTCTTATACTTCACTGTATTCTTCAGATCTCCCATGAACGCACATTGCCTTTGCAAATACAATTAAAATGCTACTTTTAAAAAACTCTCGAAGATGAACCATATGTATTTGAAGTGTAATATCTACAAAATTTTGTTCACATTTTGCACAACAACTAGAGAAATATGTTATCTTTCTCATTGCTTTAATAATCCTCCTTATTTCTTTTCATAATGGAATAACTACGAAGCACAAAATAAAAAACATTACCCTCTGTAAGCTCCACTCGGTTCCATCATGTCCTATCCGTATATATCTTACCAACGCTTCTTATTTCAACCTGAATGAAATGCAAAGAAAAAATTAGAAGACTGTTTTAAGTTAAGCATGTTAAAAAATTCTTTCTCTTCTTAACGAAATGCATTCTTTGTTCCTCGTAGTTGAATAGCTCTCAGGGACCCTTTCAGAGTCTACAGATTAAGCCCTCTCGAGAAGCTATCAGTGGGCACCACAGACACAGAATATGAGACAGAAATATCATGAGGCTTGACAAAAAAAATATGCAGGAGGAGTCAGCTGAAAGAACAGGATAAGAGCATGCATATGCTCAGTCCTCTGACTACCGCAGTCTCATGGAAGCCAACGTCTTCTGAGCTCAGTTCCAATGACAGAAAGATGGGCTCTTATTTTAAGAAGAAAAAAAACCCAATTTTCATCAAAGTTAAATATAGCTATTTCTACAAGCTGAAGAAAAAGTACCAGTGAGTCTAGAACTTCCTTCTACTCTGAAAATCCTCTCAGTTAGACTCATAGGCTAAGACATAGATGTTTAAAGTTCAAGGAAGAGAAACAAACTTGCACACACAGCACGTGCACCTGCTTAGTGTCTGACATGACCCAAGACTATCTGTTATCCAGGTGGCATTGTGGAGAACTGGCTTTGGAATCACTTTGGGCTCCGTTGGTATCTTGGACGTTGTGATCTGGGTAAAATAGGTTGTTTTACATCTCTGGTCCTCAGTTTCTTTATGGGTTGAATGGACATAATGTCTGTTGCATACAATTTTCAGTTCAACTAAGTTAATGTTTATTTAACATATAATGTAGGAAATGTGCAAGGCCACAGGTATACAAAGATGAAGGTGATGGCATAGTTCCTAACTCAGAGAAATTTCTAGTCTAGTGAGGGAGGTAGATTTATAAGCAGACATTTTCACTATAATAAGATATGTCTAGGCCATTGGACTGTGAGGATTCAAAAGGGCAATACACCACCTTACTACTTAATAACTTAAATAAGTGAAATAAGTCATACAGAGAAAGACAAATACCATACAATATCACTTATATGTGGAATCTAAAACATAATACAAATGAATATATATGCAAGACAGGAGCACACTCACAGACAGAAAACAAAGCAGTGGTTACCAAAGGGAGAGGGAAGGAGGAGGGACAGATTAGTGGTAAGGGATTAACAGATACACACTACCATATAGAAAGTAGATAATCAACAAGGATATGTTGCATAGAACAGGGAATTATACCCATCATCTTATAATGACCTATAATGGAGTATAATCTGCAAAAATACTGAATTACTATGCTGTACACCTGAAACTAACACAATATTGTAAATCAACTATACTTCAATAAAAAATATTAAAAGAAAGTAAGGGATGCAGAAAACCATTAGTGTCTACACAGATTACCTGGGGATGCTGTTAAAATGCAGATTTTGATTCAGTCTGTCTGGTGTGGGACCCAAGAGCCTGGATGTCTCACAAGCTCCCAGGTGATGCCCATGCTGCTGGCCGAGGGTCCACAAGGCCCTAAACTCCTGGGGACTTTTGTACCCATCCCTAACCTCTGCAGTTGAGGTAGTAGCTTAGAGCTGGGTAAGTCCTGCTCTCACTTCACAGCCAATAGGAACATATGCTGGGGCCACTGGCCAGGAGAGAGTCCTCGGCAACCGTAATTGACACCCACCTCCCAGGGGCACTGCCCATCACACACATTCCCAGACAGTCTTTAAACCTCACGAGCCTTTTAAATAAGTAGAATTATTACCCACCTCCCCCTCTTTACTAGGAAGGAAATCCAAGATTAGTGAGAATAAGCAATCTGCTCAAGGTCACACAGAACTAATGAGTGTCCCATCTGGATTCGAAACTGGTCTCTATACCTCCAAGACCTCTGTTCTTAACCAATTTACTACATTCTCTATATCTCCATAGGATTTTTTAAATGTATATACATTGTCCCTTTTTGTCATCAGACTACCTTGGAATTTAGGGAAAAAACAGATATCATTTCCTCCATTCTATATGTAAATATAATCCTGGCCTGGAGAAAATAAGGGACACATTCAAGGTCACACAGTGAATACATAGAAAGCTAGGGCTCTGATCCAGCTCACCTGATTTGCAGTCGAATGCTACAACTGGGATTCTCAACCTTGGCTGCACTTTACAGTCATTTGGGGAGCTTCTAAAAACCTCAGCGCCCAGGCTGCACCCTAGAATTGGAATGTCTGGAGGTAAAACAAGGAGGCTTTGGTGGTTTTTAAAGCTCCCCAGATGATTCCAACGTGCAATCAAGACTGAGAATCCACACCATCCACTCCAAGATAGGACCCTGGGTGAACCTTCCCAGGAAAACCTTGACAGGATTTACCGACACATTAAATACATACACCACAAAGTATACTCTCGGTAATAGACTTCTGTGGGGTTGCCCAGGGATCTAGCCGTAACGCATGCATATTGAACTCTAAACAATCATCTTCAAATAATCTTTTGAAATGCACGTGTTGTATAAGGTATGACTGCCTGTGAACTTGTCCAAAGTGCTCCTTCATGACTGCAGTCTTGACTGAAAACCTAGTGGTTGCAAAAGAAGAATGCCAGGTTCAGGTCTGAAAATCTATAAACTACCTAAGTATTAGTGATGGCCATGTACTACAGCCTAAGCAGCCTTGGCTTCCTGGTGACTTGAGTTGGCCCCAAGCATTCCCTATTCTCTGTCTAGTCTTAGGACACAAAGGAACATTCCCCAGGGAGAAAAACTGCCCTTGAACAATGCACCAAAGACCTGTTTGGCTTTCACCCTGTGGGAGTGCGGTGAATTAGCGAAGTGGAATGTAATTGTCCAAAGCCCTGAGGAACTGGGGCAAGCAACCAGCGATTCTCAAAATTCTCAAAACAATGCAGCTCAGTGTTCTCTGATGGTAAGGAGAGAGATATTCAAATGAGCATTGGCAGAACCTCAAAAAACAGCCTCTGAAGATGTCAAGAAAATGATTTCACACCCACACAGGTCAGCAGAGCAACATCTAAGAGTATATGCAAGCATATAAAAGAAGGGTTTTCGTCATCAGAACCATCTCTAAATGGCTAATAATCCGGCTAAAATTTGAGTTGAGGTTGACAGTTTATGGGGAGAGTTGCAAACCAATGGCTTAACATGAGCTGTTTTTAAAGAAAGCAATTTTCTTCTACAACTTGGCTAATATAAGATATGTAGGGGAAAAAATGCTTCCTTTGATAATTACAATAGGCATTAGCATCATTCACGGGGATTCTAATGGACGGAGATTTACTTTATATAGGACACACACACAATCACACCCTCTGTGTTACAGAAATTCCTTTGAAATGTTCATAAAACCAACAGGATGGTCAATGCTGCTCACCTGAAACGTATCTTCCTGTCTGGGAAGGAACAGCTGCTCTGGGCTGTCCTTGCTGAGAGGGATTGGTCCAGCGACACCCCGGTCTCCATATACCCAGAGTGGGACGCTGGCTCGAGTCCCTGTGTTTCCCGTCACACTAACACCTTCCATTCATCTTCCGACAGGGGAGTCTCACGGCTTTGGGAAGGTCTGATTTCTGCAATGGGGAAAAAGTAGCACATCAGATGCAACATCAGGCTGACAGTATCTTTTGTCACCTGGAGCCCAAGGACATCAACCCTGAGCGGGGAGGGCTGGGGTGGGACAGGGAGGCTCCAAGCTGCTACAACTCCCGGGCGTTGATTTGTGCTTGTCTCCTCACAGCAGGGCTCTGGTCAGCTGAAGCTCAACTGCTTGAAGTAAATTAAATTAGAGCGTTAAACATCTGACGTGCCTAGCAATCTTTCACTTGTCCTCAACACAACACGGGTACGTGCTGGAATTTGCAGTTTTTTCATGAATCTGCCCGCCTGGCTTACAGAGTTTTAGACAGAACGACTACAATATAAATTAACGAAAGAAAAGTGCAATTAAAACACATTTTCAAATGAGATGTAAGAATGACAAATGAAAGAGACAGAAAAGTTTTTGAACTGTTTCTGGAAAGAAAAGTACCCTATCAGAGAGAACAGTGAAAGGTTTTGGAGCCGAAGGTAGGATTGTCACAAATGCAAATGGCTTCCGAGGTGCTTTGAGCAGGCCAGGCTGCAGTGGCGGGAGGAACAGGTCCTGCCCGGTAGCGGCTGCAGCTGCCAGCAGTCACCAAACAGCCACTCCTCATCCGCACGAGATGCTTAGGAAGCGAGGCCCCGGTTACACCTGGGTTACAACTGCTGCCCTCTTTGCACTCGCTTTAGCCTGTACCCGCATCTAAGGAGATCCTGGGTACCAAGCTACACGGCACTGGTGTCTGCATTGACCCAAGAACCTCACGTCAGCTCTTCACTGATACTTTCAGGTAGAAATATTGCAGACTTAGGAAATGAGACAGATTTCCTCAGGTCAAATGGCTAAAAGGAAGCCAAGACTCTTCCTTGAAACTACAGGCAACCCTAGGTAGCACCTAGGGTCTCACCAGTACAGCACCAACAAGGATGACAACAAACCCAGCAAATAACTAGCTATTTTCTGCTCTGATGAAGAAATGTTAAAATAAAAACTACACACACACAAAAACTGTAAGCCCTAAGAAAGAACTGGCATTCATTTGTAATAGTTGCTCCTCCTTTACTATACTGGGTAACTTCTGTCATTATAACAGCCGGCATTTTTTTCCCTTCAATTATAATAATCACCATTTATCAAGCTCCTACTATATAGTAGGGTCTGTGATGAATACTTCATACTCATTTCTCACCCCATGAAGTCAAATTCTGATGTCCATTTTAAGATGAGAAAAAGAGGCAGAGGTTAACTAACATGCCCAAGTCATGTAATAAGGAAACGATGGGGTGTCACACTCCGAAGCCCCAGTGCTTAAACAAGCCAGATGGGTGCTGTCTGCTCCACTAGACACGGGCTCCCCGGGACACGAGGCCTTTCACCCTGTGCCGAGCACTGTCCTACACACTGAACGTGCAGCGTCACGTCAACCTTGCTCATCCCTCACACTACCCTAAGAGGCACGGAGCCCTGTTAAACAGGTGGACAGGTCAGAACTCAGAGGTTGAATCGTCTGCCCAGAGCTACACAGGCAGCAACAAAGAACTCAACGTGAACCCTAGGCAGACAAGCATGAGCCCCATGCCATCCTGGATGAGGTATCAAAGGTAGCTGCCCTGGGAAAGATCACAAAAAATCGGTCCAACGAAACTTGCTGACACAATCTAACCTTCAACACCCTAATGCTGGCTGGGCACACATGACTGCTCTTCTCGCTATTTCTAGTCAAGCACCATCAGGAACCTTGCAAACCCACCTGGAACTTCTCCAGACCCAAGACAAGAGCGCGGTCAGATCTCTAGTGAGGAAAACTCCACAGCACGTTCGTGAGTCCCAGAGAGCAACCAGTGATCCAGGTCAGTAAGAGATGCTGTAGGAGGCTAATCATTTAATCAGCATCTTAGTCATCAAAAAGGATTATTTTTACCGCATTCAAGAAAACTTTATGTAGTTCCTATTATTTTGCTGGGCACTGTGTGTGGTTCATGGCTCTCTAAATACTAATGACAGAGATTAACATTTTGAAAAATAATGAAAATCTCAACCTGGAGACACACATTGCCTAGTGGGAAAGGCAGATGTATAGGTATTTGATTTCCAACAAGCAGACGCACTCATAGAAAACAAAAGAAATGCTATGAAGCTGAGATGTAGCAGAGAGCACGGAGTGATTTACTGTGGACGGGCAGGCAGGAGGGGCACCCCTGAGGGAATCACGTGCTGGATGTATGACGATGAATCAAAATTTTGCAGAAAGAAGGGGAAGGGCATTCCAGGTGGCGGGAACAGCAGGCCCGCATGTACAAAGGCTTGAAGCAGCAGGCACGATGGGAGGACCACACGTGGTGACATGTGTTGACCATGACATCACACAGATGTCACGTGAGAAGAGGAGAGACAGTGAGGCGGTAGACGGCGCGGGCAGGTGGGGAGGGAGTCGGGACACAGTTGTGCGGGCACCATCTGCTAAAGTCTGGTGGTGAGGTTGATCGGAGTATTAGAAACATCGGCCTGAAATGGGTAAGCTGTATGGAGCAGGGAGAGACCCGGGCAGGAAGGCCAGCGAACGAACGATGAACTGGGAACCGCGAACAGACGAACAAACGCTGGGGTAGGGTCCACAGACCGTGGTTACTTGGGTTTAGCTTTCCAGGTGTGCACACACAAGCGTGTGTGTCTGCATGTGTGTGTGTGCGTATGTGTCTGAGTTCAGCTTGTTTGTGTGATTTAACCTGCAAACAAGTTGCTAGTCTCCAAAGCCTCTTCTTCCCGTTCTAGCATTTTCACAAACATAAAGCATTTTCACGAACATAGCACATCTTCAGAGTGCACTCACCTTACAAAAATTGACGACTGAACGTGGTGTAACCTGTAATACAGAACAATGTATCAAAGTCTGTGCTGTTGTCAATTAAATATGAATTCAATTCAATGCCCTGATCTTTTGGAAATGAACCAAAGTCCATTAGTCTCAGACCATAAATTTATCCATTTGAGAAACATAAAAGCACTTGATTTTGTCGACTGGAGATTCAAAATATTCTAAGCTGGAAGAATATTTGATGGGGACTCTGGATTAACTGACAGACCCCTTCAGGGTGTTTCTGAATAAAATCTATAGTTCTAAACAAACAAGATGAGGCAGGTATTGGTAATTTTTGAAACTGAGCCATGGATACCTGAGGATTCATTATTCCATTCTCTCTACTTTTATTTATGTTTGAAATTTTCCATAATTAAAAATTTCTTTTAAAGAACAAGATTTCTTCCTTGAGCTCTACTTTCCCTAACAGAACCAGCAACGTAATCCAACCTATATATAGCCCTCAGGAGAGCAGTGCAAATTCAAGCACTGCACCTCTATTTACCGCTATAAAAGCGCCGTTCACTGTATGTGCGGTACTATAAGTTCTAAACCTTTGTCTCCCTTTGATGTAGATGGGAACAGTCCCATTTTTATTTCTTACTAAATGAGCATTTTGAATACAGAGGACAGGTTTATTTTATCTACAATACCTAATTCCCTGAACAATGGGTGAACACCTTGCCCTACTCTGAAAGTACACTGACAAACATAATCTCATTCTGCAGGAGGCGACAGCTGTCTCTGATGTCTTTGAAAGTATGAAATACGTCTTCTGAAGTATTTTTCAACTAACATGATTTTAATATGAATGGCTAATGTAACCCAAATCTATCTAGCACGACAGCTAAATTGCAAACGCAAGAGGAAGGTATTCTTTTGAGAAACAAATTTTACCTATGGTTTGGTAGAGGTAGAAAGAAGACAACTGAAGAGAGTCATGATCTAATTAATCAGCAATGAATGAGAGTCTTCTAGGTAATGTTCATATGGGAAGAGATGTTTTCTCCACTTAAGGCATGGATGCTTATAAAAATCATTTCTACTGCAACCAGAGAAGGCAAAGTTTAAACAAGTCATGGGCATTTCGTAGATGGCATTTGTATTAGGAGAGCTTTATCATCTGGATTTTCAGGATTTCATGTCCAAATCCAAAGTCTGTGCCATGTCCGCATTTAGAATAGCTGCATAGGGGCTTCCCTGGTGGTGCAGTGGTTAAGAATCCGCCTGCCAATGCAGAGGACGCTAGTTAGAGCCCTGGTCCGGGGAGAGCTCACAAGCCTAGAAGCAACTAAGCCCATGCACAACTACTGAGCCTGCGCTCTAGAGCCCGTGAACCACAACTACTGAGCCCGTGTGCCACAACTACTGAAGCCCGCACGCCTAGAGCCTGTGCTCCGCAACAAGAGAAGCCCCCGCAATGAGAAGCCTGCACACCGCAACGAAGAGTAGCCCCCGCTCGCTGCAACTAGAGAAAGCCCACGCGCAGCAACAAAGACCCAACGCAGCCAAAAAAAAAAAAAAAAAAAAAAAAAAAAAAAAAAAAGCTTCATAAATTACGCTCACTCTTCATTTCTACTGTATTGCCATCAACTATAATACAGCACTTATGTCTTTGCACAATGAATTAATGACAAATTTTATTTTGTGTCTAGCTTGCCTTAGATATTTTTCTTCATCCCATTTATCTATTTTTAACTGTATATTTCTGTGTAAAGGTTCAATGCTTATCTGGATCACTAGACTGAACTTCTAGAGGTCAGATGTTGTACCCATCACTATATTTCCTTATATCTGACATTTAGTAGGCATGCAACGCATATCTGATGATTTATTAAAGGAAAGAATGATTTGTACAGGTCTATATTTATCATGAAGCCTAATTTTATCATTTTGGAAAATGATTTGGTCTGCCTTGCCTCAGTATAAAACTTACACTTTCCAATACTTGCAAATTTAACAATGGCATCACATAAGGGAATATTATCCAAAATATATAAAGAACAACTCAATAACAAAAAACAAATAATTCAATTTTTAAAAGGACAGGAACTAAAGTGACATTTTCCAAAGAAGACAACCAAAAGGCCCACAGGCACTTGAAAAGATGTTCAACATCACTGATCAGCAGCAGATTGCAAAACAAAACCACAATGAGATGTCACCTCACACCTGTTAGAATGGTGTTATCAAAAAGACAAGAGATAACAAGTGTTGGTGAGGATGTAGCGAAAAGGGAACACTTGAGGAGGGACTTTCAAGATGGCAGAGAAGTAAGACGTGGAGATCACCTCCCTCCCCACAAATACATCAGAGATACATCTACATGTGGAACAACTCCTACAGAACACCTACTGAACACTGGCAGAAGACCTCAAACCTCCCAAAAGGCAAGAAACTCCTTGCGTACCTGGGTAGGGCAAAAGAAAAAACAAAGACAAAAATAGGGATGGGACCTGCCCCTCGGGAAAGGAGCTGTGAAGGGGGAAAGGTTTCCACACATTAGGAAGCCCCTTCACTGGCGGAGATGGGGGTTGGGCGGGGGGAAGCTTCGGAGCCATGAAGGAGAGCACAGCCACAGGGGTGCAGAGGGCAAAGCGGGGAGATTCCCACACAGAGGACCGGTGCCGACCGGCACTCACCAGCCCGAGAAGCTTGTCTGCTCACCTGCCAGGACAGGTGGGGGCTGGGAGCTGAGGCTCAGGCTTCGGAGGTCAGATCCCAGGGAGAGAACTGGGGTTGGCTGTGTGACCACAGCCTGAAGGGGGCTAGTGCGCCACAGCTAGCCAGGAGGGAGTCCGGGAAAAGGTCTGGAGCTGCCGAAGAGGCAAGAGACCATTGTTTTGGGGTACGTGAGGAGAGGGGATTCAGAGCACTGCATAAACGAGTTCCACAGACAGGCGCGAGCCACAGCTGTCAGCGCAAATGACAGACACGGGCATGAAATGCTAAGGCTGCTGCTGCAGCCACAAGAACCCTGTGTGCAAGCACAGGTCACTGTCCACACCTCCCCTCCCAGGAGCCCGTGCAGCCCGCCACTGCCAGGGTCCTGTGATCCAGGGACAACTTCCCTGGGAGAACGCAGGGTGCGCCTCAGGCTGGTGCAACGTCACGCCGGCCTCTGCCGCTGCAGGCTCGCCCCACATTCCGTACCCCTCCCTCCCCCTGGCCTGAGTGAGCCAGAGCCCCGAATCAGCTGCTCCTTTAACCCCGTCCTGTCTGAGTGAAGAACAGACACCCTCAGCAACCTACACGCAGAGGCGGGGCCAAACCCAAAGCTGAACCCCAGGAGCTGTGCGAACAAAGAAGAGGAAGGGAAATCTCTCCCAGCAGCCTCAGAAGCAGCAGATTAAATCTCCACAGTCAACTTGATGTACCTTCATCTGTGGAATACCTGAATAGACAAGGACTCATCCCAAACTGAGGCAGTGGACTTTGGGAGCAACTGTAGACTTGGGGTTTGCCTTCTGCATCTAATGTGTTTCTGGTTTTATGTTTATCTTAGTTTAGTATTTAGAGCTTCTTATCATTGGTAGATATGTGTACTGATATGTGTACTCTTCCTTTTTTTTTCACATATATATTCTTTTACTTTTTCTATTTTTGTCAGTGTATATGTGTATGTTTCTTCGTGTGATTTCGTCTGTATAGCTTTGCTTTTACCATTTCTTCTAGGGTTCTGTCTGTCCGTTTTGGGGTTTTTTTTTTTTTTTAGTATAATTTTTAGCGATTGTTATCATTGGTGGATTTGTTTTCTGGTTTGGTTGCTCTCATGTTTCTTTCTTTCTTTTTTTATTACTTTTTTATTTTAATAACTTTATTTATTTTATTTATTTTTTGGTCTTTCTTTCTTTCATTTTTTTTCTCCCCTTTCTTCTGAGCCGTGTGGCTGACAGGGTCTTGGTGCTCCAGCTGGGTGTCAGGCCTGAGCCTCTGAGGTGGGAGAGCTGAGTTCACGACATTGGTCCATCAGAGACCTCCCAGCTCCACGTAATATCAAACAGTGAAATCTCTCCCAGAGATCTCCATCTCAATGCTAAGACCCAGCTCCACACAACGACCAACAAGCTACAGTGCTGGACACCCTATGCCAAACAACTAGCAAGACAGGAACACAACACCACCCATTAGCAGAGAGGCTGCCTAAAATCATAATAAGGTCACAGACACCCCAAAACACACCACCAGACGTGGATCTGCCTACCAGAAAGAAAAGATCCAGGCTCATCCACCAGAACACAGGCACCAGTCCCCTCCATCAGGAAGCCTACAAAACCCACTGAACCAATCTTAGCCACTGGGGGTAGACACCAAAAAGAACAGGAACTACGAACCTGCAGCCTGTGAAAAGGAGACCCCAAACACAGTAAGTTAAGCAAAATGAGAAGACAGAGAAACACACAGCAGAAAAAGGAGCAAGGTAAAAACCTACCAGACCAAACAAATGAAGAGGAAATAGGCAGTCTCCCTGAAAAAGAATTCAGAGTAATGATGGTAAAGATGATCCAAAATCTTGGAAAAAGAATGGAGAAAATATAAGAAAAGTTTAACAAGGACCTAGAAGAACTAAAGAGCAAACAAACAATGAGGAACAACACAATAAATGAAATTAAAAATTCTCTAGAAGGAATCAATAGCAGAATAACTGAGGCCGAAGAACAGATAAGTGACCTGGAAGATAAAATAGTGGAAATAACTACCACAGAGCAGAATAAAGAAAAAGAATGAAAAGAGCTGAGGACAGTCTCAGAGACCTCTGGGACAACACTAAATGCACCAACATTCGAATTATAGAGGTCCTAGAAGAAGAAGAGAAAAAGTAAGGGACTGAGAAAATATTTGAAGCGATTATAGTTGAAAACTCCCCTAATATGGGAAAGGAAATAGTCAATCAAGTCGAGGAAGGACAGAGAGTCCTATACAGGGTCAATCCAAGGAGAAACATGACAAGACACATAATAAATAAAATATCAAAAAATAAATACAAAGAAAAATATTAAAAGCAG